TTTTGCTGTGAAGTACAGCCAGACTTTTGACCGCTTCGCCTTGGGCATTTTTAATCTGTAGCTCTGCATAAAAGAACGTACGTACCTGGCCCCGCCTACTATCCTCAGAAACGTAAAATGATTGGCTAGAAGTGTATCACAGCTCAGGAAAAAAGAGCACCGAAATAAAGCACCGAAATGTGCGCTGCTTTTCGGTCTGGTTACTACCGTTTATGTCAGAACCCGGTACCCATCCCTATGTAAAAGTGACCTTTTACAAGGAGCTGCAGACAATCTACTTGTAATCTGATTACATTTCACGTTGAACTTGTTCACAGAATGAGATTCGGTGATTATATGATGTCAAAAACATTTTGTAGGATTCATTGTCATAAATTCAGAGTTTCACTGTAAATCGCCTAAATCGGTCTCAGCGGGTTGAATCAGAACTCACAGAGTCTATAAAGATGCTTTGTCTCTGCATAAACTACAGAGGTTTAAATCAAATTACCCACCAAGACCTGACAATCTTCCAATCTCTGTTTAATCCAGGACTACCTTAAGCACTTCATCTTAATGTATGTGGATGACATGCTGTCTAAACCCGAGCCAACCACACACATCATATCCATCAGGTATTACAGAGACTCTTAGAAAACTGTTTGTTAGCCAAGAGGGAGAAATGTGAATTTCACATTTATTCTGGTTCATTCGCTGGGTTCCTTTTTAAGAAAGGTCACATAAGAGTTGATCCAGCCAAGATAATGATTCATGCGATGGTGAACTTGCCAGTTCTCACCCCCAGGAAAATACTCCAGAATTTTCTGGGCATTTCACTGATTTCATCAGGGACTATTGCAAAGCTGTTTCCCCGCTAACCTGCCGAACTTCTCCCAAGAAACCTTTACAGTGGAGCACCTCTGCACAGCATGCTTCTGACCATCTAAACATTGTTTGCTTTGGCTCCCATTCTGGCACATTCTAGGTTGACCCTTCTCTTCAGTTCATAGTTGAAGTGGATGCCTCCAGCAGGTAATTCATGGTACTTTTTTACATGTAATTTTTTACCTTTGACATAACCAGACTCTGGATGGTCATCTTCTGTCAAAGGAAATGAAAAAAACCATATTATAGTTTAATTGGAAGGTAAGCACATACATCAAACTTCTACACACACTTTTCAACTTGGTGTCATAAAATGGAATATAACTCATTTTCCTTTGTTTCATTTCATGTCTTACTTCCATAGTTGATATTGCTTAATATCCACTGACCTTTTCGAATTTCACAGATCCACAGTGGGTCATCAGGTTCACCAACAGGTGGTTCAGTGTGCAGGAGTGCAAGTATGAGTTCACTGCCTGGATTCTTAATGTACAGCTCATAGAGGTTTTGGTTATTGTATCTGAGGGTTAACTCCTGTGAACGGAAAAAAACAAATCGGACAATTAGTATAATTAGGGGTGTTGATTCATTTAAACTACCATAAAAGAGATTTCCACTGTTCCTTGTTCAGGCTACACGACAGTGTCAGAACGTTATGCTCCAACTGTGGTTCTGCTCTCTCCAGTCCAGGATACTGTCCATCTGTGCAGCTGACCCCATGCAGCATGTAGGCTTCAGTATTCACACTCAGGCAGGGGAAATCCTCTGTGCCAGAGCTCTTTTATGCCAATTATTTGCATGTTGTGTGGCCAAATCTTTGTCATGTTAGAGTTATTTAGCCTCTTTGTTGTGATCGTTGGGTCATTACAAAAAAAAGGAATTATTACATATATTATGCAGAACTTAATTCCTAAAAGTAATTCAACATGTTACTTAATTACTCCCAGGAAAAGTAATTCATTATTCATCACATTACTTTTGTGTTACACTGTAAAGTAGCCTGAAATGCACTGTCACACAATAACCAGCTAAACCTTAGTCTACAGTCACACGCCGACACAAATACCTGTCCGAATATTATCTCTGTCATCTTTCTCTTAGTATTTATCTGTCATGGTTCTGGGTTATTTTGTCCCAGCATTTTGGGTTTATGGTGTTTTGGTTATTTTGTTGTGTTGTAGTGTTTTAGTTTCTATTATTTAGTATTGAGTTAGTTGTGGTTTTGCTTCTATGTATAATTATATTTATGTTTTTATGTTTCCTTGATGATGTGTCTACTCTCCCTATTCTGTGTACAGTCCACGTCTCCCCGTCTGTCATGTCCCTCTCCCTTTATCCCTCACTCCCTCTCTTCCCTCCATGTCTCATCTTCCTTAAATCTTTCCCTCTTTGTCTCCCCAGTCTGTCGTTTCACTGTGTGTTCCTTCCTCCCAACCTGTGTCTCGCCGTCTATCTTTAGTCTGCGTCTTAGTGTTTCCTGTTTTACTTTGACAGTGTCGTGTCCTATATTCATCCAGGAACCCAACTCAGTCTTTACAGATTGTACTGTGGTGGCGGGTGTGGTTTGTGGCTGCTGGGGTGGTGCAGTGGGTTCAGGGGCAGGGGAAGCTAGCTGGCACAGCTGTCAGTCATTGGCTTGTTATGCTTCTCCTATTCCTACACAGTAGCACGCTGGGACCAGAGTGTGGGGAGAAGGGACTGATCTGGCTAAAGGAGCAAAGACAGAGCTGGGCAGTGCTAAAAAGTAACTGAGTGCAGAAACTGTTTGGAATTAAAAATTACACCATGAACAAGAAACACTGTGTGCAAGGTGGACGTGTGGGGGGTTACATAGTGGCTGAAGTGCTACATGTAGGCCCACCTTCGGTTGGATCTTTGCACTTGCGTTGTCGGCTCTGAGACTGAAAAGACGCTCAGTTTGCAGGTACTTGTCTGGATGATGCTTTCTGATTCTTTTAAATCCCTCACAAGATTCTCTGTCGTCAAATCTCTGTTTAAGAAATACAGAAAAGAATAAAGCAAAAACAGGAATATTCTCGTCTTTGATTTAAACCAATTTAAGCAATAAGATTTTTGTGAGAGACGGTCTAGTGAAATAATAAACCAAAGGAAAAAGTCACATTAACAAGAATAAAGCCTGAGATTAGAGAGTAAAGATGAAACAATACAAGAAAGAGTGTGTAAAACAAATTAACTGATAGAAGCTAAATTATGGGAGAAAACAGGGAGAGTATCACCGTGTGAAAATGATAAATATTTTGCATCTTCATGGGTGCTTTGTGAACTCTCAGGTTAATAATACGTGTCTAATTTTTACTTATCAGAGTTTTGTTATATGAAGTCTGTTTGATGTAATATTACAAACTCTGGGTCCAAATAATCTCCAGATTACAATGAAGACATTTATCAACTAAATTATTCCCACAAGTGCTGTTGTTGGTGATTTTCATCATACTCGTGGGACAGATTAAAAGAAAAACCATGATCAAAAAATATTCTGGGCTTTCTCTGTCTTCTGTACAAATGTTATGTAAACTTTTACATTTAGCGAGGCGATGTGCACTGTTTCAATGGATTCAGAGACGGCCCCCCACTGTTACACAATGGTACAGAGAAACGTTCAAGTTGTTGCCATCGGAGCACCTTAGCGCCATTATAAAGGGCAATTGTGATGCATTCTATAGGATATGGCGGCCTTTGCTTGATCACCCACCTCGTGACCTTGCCGTGCAATTACATAAAGGGGGATCACATTTTCTTTTTAAACATAATAGTTTATGTCTGTATCCCCCCCCCCCTTTTTTTTCTTCCTCCCTTTACTTTAAATGTGGAACTGTCACGGTTCTGGGTTTGACCCAGTATTTTGAGTTGTCATGTTTTGGTTTGATTTTGTATTCTGATTCTTGTTCTTTCTTGATTATTATTATTAAAATTCTGTTTCTGTATATATTCGTGTTTTAGGATTTGTTCTTCTGTGGGTCTCATGCTTAGTATAGTTTGAGTTTTAGGTGTTATATTCTTTCTGTCTACCTCTCAGTGTCAAGTTTGCATTTTTGAATTGCTTCTGGTTTCCTGTTTTACTGAATCTTCATGCCTCATGTCAGTGTGTTCAGTTTTACTGCTCCCCTGTCTCGTTAGCCTAAGTTCTCCCAGCTGTGTCTCCCTCCTGTTGCCCATTCCCTTATTACTCCCCTACCGCCCAGTGTTTTCCTGTGCTCTCTGTCATGTCGTACCCTCAACCTGCTGTGTGTTTTGTCTCCTGCTCTGGTTTAGTATTTCTTTTCCAGTGTTCCAGTCCTTAGTTCCTCTGTCCAGAGTTTTGTTTGTTTTTTGGTGAGTTTAATTAAGAGGTTTTTCCCAGCAATAAAGCTGCGCTTTAACTTTTACTTCTGTGTTTGAGTCCTGCATTTTGGGTCCACCACTCCTGCCTGCCTGCAACACAGGCAACCATGACAGGAACACTGTACATATTTTGACCCAGACATGTACATTTGTAACTCATGTACCTGTATTTGTTTTTTTCTTTCTCTTCTTCCTGTTTGTATTTGGCTCTGGTGATCTGTTTCTGTTTGTATTGTTTCCAAAAAAAATCTATAAATCATTGTTTTAAGACAAAAAAACTGTAACTAAAGTCAGACAGAAAACATTTATTCTAGCAGTAGAGACAAATTCCCATTGAACCCAATGTATTAAAAACAACCAAAACCATCTTTCAGTGTCTCTTTTGTCAGTCACTCCTAATGTTTGGAATCTTGTCCTGTTTCACATCATTAAGATGTTCAGTTACCTGTTCCAGAGCAGGATCCTGTCGTATCAGGTAGACGTGGAGTTTGAGGAATGGTGTGTTGGGTTTATAGTACATCAACATGTAACAGCTGATTTTTGGAGGAAATATGAAACGTATCAGAGCCCCTATTATCGAGAAATTTGGCTCAGTTAACTTGACATGTGTTGGTGTGACCTCAGACACTGTTTCCACAACATCTCCACAGTCATCTATGTGGAGGACTGCAAACGTGTCCAATATGTCAGGGATGTCATCTGCAGGAGAACACAACAACACAAACATGGTGAGAAGAACAGTTTATAACAGTTTGTGCGCTCACTGTCAGAAATGTC